TATATATATATATAGATAGATCACTCATGAGAAAGCGGCGTTGTATGACTAGTAGAACTGTGTTTCTTCAACTTGTAGCCTTCAGATCCTTTCGTAGTAAAAACTAGTCTGTTCCTTGTTAATGCCATTTTACTAGTTAATGTACTATCGAACAAAGCGTAGCGTAAACACGTAGCACAGGGATTTCACACGCCCGGTATGACATTATTCAGGGCGGCATCTGTAGAGGGCTCCAAGGGCTGATTAGATGCAGCACAAGAGATTACCTTAGACTTGATTGAAAGTATAAAACGTAATACAGCCTGTGAACTGAAAATCGTATTGTCCGAATCGACGAAAGTGTTATAAAAAAAAAAAAAATAGTAATTGAAGTGGACGAACGTTTAGTCGGAAATGGTCCACTCACTGTTATACGAGAGCACTATTTACCAATACAATTATATTACAATACAGTATTAACAATTAGCTAGTCATTTTTTGCATTTTTCATCTAATTGGCAACTAAAAACAACGCTCTCATCTAACCTCCCCATATTACTCTCACGCCTATACGGGCGCATGTTATAAGCCATTCACTTGCCAATTAAGATTTGCTCCTCGTGAGCTCTTTTCCTCTAGTTTAAGCCTGTTTCTCAAGCTCCCTTCGAGCGCCGCTTCAAACGTTGATACTGGTTCGCACTTCGTAACGAGCGAAGATGACAACACGTTTTTCTCCAGCCGCCCCCAAGCCAACAACAGCGGCAGATACTGAATAAGGGGAAATTGTGTGAGAAGCCACATTTCGTGTATCGCTCATCCGGCAGTTAAATCGTCTCTCATCGACTAGGCCAATATACCATCGGCCAACACGTCGTAATCAGCTACTCAATGTAGGTCAATGCAGATCCATCCAAATCGAATGAGGAGAACTTTATAGAAAAAATACCGGCGTGGTCGGCCTTGATAACCAAGGATGGCCTCAGATCGCTATATTTCCACTAATACAGTACACATTTTTATTATTATTATTATAGCTAATGTTAGCGAGCGTCAGGACTTGGAACGATTTTACACTCGTGTGCAAAAGAAACGGAAGCTGTCGATCGTCACTATGGTCGTCACTGGAAACGTTGCGTGACTGGAAACAAATATAGGACAATGACGCCACGTCGGCTGCATGCAAAAACGTGCGTTGTGCAAATAAGGAAATAAGGGGAGCGTAACTGCAATGCAATGCGATCTTCAGAAATTTCGTGACAATAGAGCGGGCTTTTTCGACAACAATTCTCGAGTATAGATAAACAGCGTTTCCAAATATAAAGCTGACCGACGATTTTGTCTGGCTGATTTGCGATCGTCCCATGAAGAAAACCGCGATTTGTCGCGAGATGATTGTTCCTTCGGGGGACATCCCCCTGACAAACGACACATCGGTAGGACCAAAGATTTGGATATCACCTCTAGAAAATACATTTTAATATATGTGTCATAAAACATGGATGGATAGATAGATTCTAGCACCGGGTGAGATAACAGCCTTATCTGAAATACAATCGTCAAGTCTATCATGTCGCCACGCGTAGATACGGTCCGAAAATCTATTGTCATTAAAAACACTGGACAAGTTCGCTACTGAAAAGGGGAGAACGCAAAAAACTCTGTCCTGGATGTCTTGACCTACTGTTGTCGACTACGAATCAACACGAGCGGATGTCGCTGATAATAATACCATGTCCTATATAATAATATTATATACTATGATCAGTGATGCGAAGTGAACCAAGCTAATTGATAATAACATGGATCGTTCTTATTTACTATGTCACAATCGTCTACCGTTGTGCATGGCACATTTAAAGGAAATATAATTACGAAATGGAACATGGCTTAGCAATTTATTA